TTTAGCTTTTTAAAGTGAAAGTATAGGTCTATACAATAACATCTCTCAGCAACACAAATTTAAGCTCATTCTTATAATCATACTTGCTCGAAGAGCTTAATAAACAGTTGAATAATTAGTGTAAATTTATTTCATTCAATAATTAAATAAACTATCTGTAGAAAGATATAAAATTATTGAATGAAAGTCTTCTTTGTTTTGCCGATGAGACTCCGCGATAGGAGGCGATCAAAGCTGCATTTTTCTTGAACGAAAAACTAACGATAGTTGGTTAAAAACAACCGAATTGTGAAAGATTTACAAAGCTAAATAAAGGACGGATATTTGTTGTCGTAATATGCTCTCCGTGTTATATTTCCTCCAGCATTAAAATAAATTAAGCTTATCTATAGGAATATAAAACGTTTTGAGAGAAAGTCCAGTTTGATTTGTCGATTCGTCGAGAAAAATGCTTGTCAAAAAATATATTATACACATATACGATTGTTTGCTAAAAAAACACACCTGAATTCTTGTAGAACACTTCTTGATCCATCTTTGACTACATGAAAGTTTTTTTTAATTGTTTTTGGTCTATAATTTGTCCTAAAGCGATTTTTTTCTGTGCATTTGAGAGCCGCATTTGTGAGTAGTTTTACTTTGACATCATGCGGGATTCCTGTGTTGTGTACACGGACGGACGTACGGACGGACCTACGGACGGAATTGACGTCAGCCAAGCCATGAAAAATCGACTCGATGGTTTACCATTTTTTCTTAAGTATGGTGCTCCGCTAATAGTAGCCAAGCAACATATTTTCTTCACAGTAAAATGTGTCGGATAAAAATTATCAATTTTATGCAGCATATAAATTATGAGTAAATGACGTCATTTACTCAACCCTATTGTTCTTTTCTCTTTTAACCCAAAATTTCTCAACTGCAAGTGGCTCCCAGGCGAAAATCTTCACTAGTCTGGTTTGCATAATCATAATTGAATCTGATTATTCGCAAATACTTTAATTATTCGGACTTCGAAAAATTGGGGCGTTTTCATCCAAGCACCCCTTTAATAGTCAAATAGACACAAAAGAAGACAGTGGTCAAAAGATCTACGAGTAACTTGTCCGGAGCTTTGAATGCTAGTCCGGCTTTTGATCAAGTCAAGTTTTACTTAATTAATAATCGAAAAACACACTCATCTTTCTTTCTTTCCTACAGATGTCTTTCTCACAATCCTCTTCGTTCAATAAAAGGGAACCTATCAGGCTTACTCCCCTCGCTGTCAGTGCTGTACGTTACAGGGATCGAGTACTGGGTACTAGATAAACCGCTCCTTGAACTGCCTAAGCTGAAACACATCACTGACGTAATCCTTCCATCGTATAAGTTGGAAGGATACTGTGGTTATTGTTCATTTAATCGAAGTAACTTAACGTGGACCCCACTGGCACCTTTTGTTGAGAGATCTGGGTGTCACCTACGAAGACATAGCGTGAACATGCTATCATCCGTAGCACAGCTACTCAACGGTAGCTATTTCCATATTCAATGCAACAACCGTAATATTTTCAAATGTAAGCATAATAAGATAAATTTCTATACATACTATATTGAGAATAGCTGTTGGAAAGAAATGCTCATTGTAATCAAATGTCAGAGTTTGGTAGGCTGTTTCGTAGCGCTCCTCAATCTCTTAGTATTTTGGAATATCATGACGTCTAAATATCTACGTAAGAATGTCTCCATGTTGTTCGTAGGTAATATGGCCTTGAGTGACTTGCTTATAGGCGTCTATGTTCTGCGTATTGGAGTGTATTTAAGCGGTACAACATACTCCTATTTCGAGTCACGGCATGAGTGTCAATCGATCGGTTTTCTGTGGATGTTAGGACAAGCAGGGAGTGTTATCACTTCATTCTTGTTAACTCTAGAAAGGTATCTCGTTATTGTCTACAGTCTTAATCCTAACATTCGAATCACTCGTCGTATGGCAATGATTTTGATCTTCGTTTGTTGGCTGTTGTCTGCCTTCTTCACTTGCTGGTGTTTCTACTATGAATTGTATCAATACTCGTATTTGTGTATTCCAATTCGTTTAAGTATTAATAAGAGAGAAAACATTTTTGTTTTCACATTAACAATAGGTTGTATAGGAATATTGTTCTACCTGATATCTTTCATTTTTTACATTCATATCTTTGTTACCGTCAGGCGCGCGGCTCAAAGAGCAGGTGTCAAGCGAGAATCAAAACTTGTTAAAAGAGTTGCTATTCTGGTTGGAAGCAATATCCTCTTTTTCGTCGCTCCGCTTCTTTTCTCTGGTATTACTTTCCTTTCAGGTTCTAGCAGCAAGAATATGAGTGCTTTGCAACAAATCGCTACAGAAATTGTTAGTCTTTTCTGCTTGTGTGTGAATTCATGTTTGAATCCAGTTATACATGCCTTTCGAACATGTCTTTTCAAGACGGTCTTGAAGGAGAGGTTTTCTGTGGCTCGAAGTCAGTTTAATTCTCTACTGACGTACTATTTGTGGTGGATTTGTAATGAGGCCAACCAACCAAGCAACCAAGCAACCGACCATCTAACCAACCAACCAACCAATCGACCAACAAACCAACCCATTCACTCACCAAATAACCCACCAACGAACCCGCCACCCACCCACCAACAAACCAACCCACAGATAGAAACGAATGAAAGAGACGCCATCTTTGAAATATGTCCTCTAAAACAGCCCCATAATGCACTGCAACTCCATTTCGACCCAGTTTTTTCTCAACCTCGGAATTGTCTAATAGTTTACTCAGTCAGACAAACTGATAAACGTAAATAAAGCGCAATTTTGAAATCGAGGGAATCAAGTTTTTTCATGAGCGATATAAAATCAATATGATAAATAAAATAARATATAACCTTAACTATATTATAGGTATTTAAATTTTATATAATTATTGTTATCTATATATTATTATTGTATTTTTTTCCTTGGGCGCCACTGGGTATTATTAAGAAAAAACAAAAACTGTTGTGTTTCTCTCTTGAAATAAAGTTCTAAAAACGAAAAACAAAAACAAAACAAAACAAAAAATAAAAACCAAAACAAAAAAAAACCAAAAAAAAAAGAAAAAGAAGAAGAAAAAAAATCAATCAGATCCCAATACTCTAACCCTTGTGTATCCCTCTTGATTCAATACAGTCTAACGTTTATCATCATGACTGGCTACGAAACAAATATATGTTAACATCTATACTTTATTGTTTATTATCCCTAAGTTAATAATATAATTATAGAAATCTGTTTATACTACAGACCATCTATAAAATATTTGAAACCTTATCTGGTATATGTTTCTATAAGTTATCTATAACTATCAATATAGTATTATCTATGATATATTTATCTATTACTAATATTATCCATTAAATAAATAAAGCTTTAATGTATTCTTCCTCTTAATAAAAGAATTGGTTTCTAAATGTTTTTGTACATCAATTCATACGATCTGCAATCGAGGCAATGTAGGTTATTGTAGATGTCAATCAAGGCGTTGCCATGCCATTCTTTAGCCATAGACCGATCCCAGCTATACTTGAGCGCCCACCCAAACAATGGATAGTTCTCCCAATGGAATACAGAATGTCCGACCAACAAACTCGAATTTATAAGATTTTTTAGTAGTTATCGATGTTTTTTTTATGTACCTTTAGAATACATTGATTTTAAGACAGACATTCGCAATCAGTGTCTGTTCCATGCTGTATATCTATATATATACAGTACTTAGGGAGGTAGAACAATGAATGTGGGATGGGATCGGTGTATTGAAAACTTTTGATGCTCGATAGTGTCATGGAAAACCTTTGATCGACACCAAGTACCTAAACTTATTTTCTCGCGACCATCCTATGCGTGTTTATAACAAGTGTAAAGCTTCTGAAAAGACGTCTCTTGCTCTGGCTTTAGTGAACTCTAAACGAGTAAATGTATTTTTATACGAACCAGCTGATCTGAAATAGTTTAGTATTAATAACGTCACTGCAAAACTGAGGTGACATGAAGCCTGCGAAAATTGACCAAATTTACTTGGGTGTATTGTTTTGCCCATTTCAGACCACGTGTCACTCTCTTGAGAATAAAGATTCTTCGTTTGAGTTGTATCCATATTCGTGCTGACTCGGGACCTTTGCGCGCGCTCTTAAAATAAGAGACGACTGGGGACGAGTCAGCATATTCGTGTGTCTTCTCATATGCAACCGTTAAACAAATAATACTCTAGGGAATGACACGTGGTCTGTAATGTTTTGCCCATTTCAGACCACGTGTCACTCTCTTGAGATTAATATTCTTTGTTTGAGTTGTATCCATATTCATGTGTCTTCTCATGCGCAACCGTTAAACAAAGAAATAATACTGTAGGGAATGACACGTGGTCTGAAATGGGAAAACAGTGGATTAGGTCCATTAGGCCATTTGCAGGAAATAATCACGTCGGTTAGTGGACGGCAAAAATGTTTGGGCTTCGCGTATTTAAAGAACGTTTGCTGGTTTACTGTGGTATTTTCCCCCTTGTAAGATACTTTCGATTTCAAGACAAGCCTTCCCCAAGGGACCTTTGGCTGAATTGATTCGTTATCAAACAGATATATCAGCATGTGACTGTTTGTTGCAAATGACCAACGAAAAATAATAAGATGCTTGCTATTTTAATGTATATTGTTAAGTATTGTGTCACTGTTATCAAGCACTTATTAGCAACGTTATTTTTTCGGTGGCCTGGAAAACCAAAAATTTCAGGAGGAAAATTGACACCTCAGCTTTGCACATTTTCTCGATTTTGATTGGCTACTAATTTCTTTCAGATCAGCTGGACGTGACTAATTGGTTTTCAATCTCTTATCGAAGTTTTTTGGGCGTCATGTGCTAAGATATATGACTTATTATTGAAAGGCAGGCTGACCAAAATCTGTGAAACATACTTCCGATCCCTTTCAGCGTTTTATTTATGTCCTGCATTTGGGGGTGTTAACCATATTTTATCAAGAAAGCACAACGAAAAGACGCTTCTTAGGGGAAGGGGCGAGTGAAAGAGAGCAAAAAACGTTAATTTTCAGATAAAAGATGAAGCCGTACCACAATATTTTGATTTTTGCTGTACAATAGCAGACCAAGACAGTAGTCTGGTGTTTAGATTCCGCATGACTGTGACTGAAACCGTACGACATTTGGCAGAGGAAAATAAACTATAGAACCCAGAAAAAACCCTTGAATCAAGGGAGAGACATAACAAACTTTACTTACACGTGATGCTGAGACCAGGTATCAAACCCGAGACCTCAGAGCTGAGAGGCAAGTATACTAACGCTACACCACCCTTGAATCGAAAGCCACAGCACGGTCACGGCACGTCACGTTTTCAAGTTTTCATAGTCATACGAAATCTGGTCTATATTTTTAGAGGCATATACAATATGTGTGCACCACCAGCGACGTCTAAGACGCAGCAGTGCATAATTCACCAACCGGTGTCAGCGGAGTTTTAGTGGTCACGCTTGTGGTTGTCACAGACTCCACGTTACTCAGACTTTCGAGGTCTGCTACCAACCAGTCCATCTCTACTTTATCGTGTATCGTAAAGTTACCAGGACTGGCCCATGACAGAGGGCGAGGCTAAAGAAAAAAAAAATCATCCCATTCTTAAATAGACCTTTTACGGATTTTTGAAATACCGTTGTGTTCGTTGATTACAGGGTTGTTTAATTTTACTCGTCAGAATATTCACAAATACCAACGGGAAAGTAAAGAATGCACRACAGCGGGACTCGAACCCGAGTCGCATTGGTGAGAGGTGAGCGCTCTCACTGCTACGCCACCCGTGCTTCAGGGTAAGCCTCATTTCAGCGTCACAATATTCACAAATACCAACGGGAAAGTGAAGAATGCACAACTTGAACAACACAAAAACTCTAAACATGAAACACATACGGGTGCATTTTGGCTGGAAAATAGTACATTTCTCTCCCCCAACCCCCCCCCCCCCCCCACTTTCGTCCTGGATCAAAAATTCATTACATCGATTAAAAAGTTCAAAATTAACATATTTGCGGCTCGAACTGCGTTACATAATAAGTACCTACCTTTTTGTCTTTTCTTGGCTCAACCTTTCGTGGAAAAGCCCTGTAGGATTATTGAAAGAAAACGTTGAGAAAGGGGCCCTGAGAAAATATTCCTTTCTTGAATTCGTTTTAGTGACCACGAAACGATGACTGCAAGTCGAGGTTGAACTTGATCAAATACAGTAAATAAAGTACTTACGTTCGAGAGGCGGTACTTCTTTTTGTTAATTTCTGCAAAATCTCTTCGTCTACAGGTTGGGTCTTTAAAAAAAGTAGGAAAAAGTAAAATGAAAAATGATGAAAAACATGAAAAAAGAGCGTGAGTCTGGAAGGTCCTTGGTTGTTGTTGTCATGCAAATCGTTCTAATATCAAACCTTTTTCACAGTTTCTACATACCTTTTTGTTTAATACGTCGTCGAAAGAGAATTTCTTGAAGAATGAATGTCGCTGAAGAGATTCCAGTGAATGCAGTCGATTCTTAGGTTTTTTTTGTAAAAGCTGAAGAAGAAAAAACAAGTTAACGACCAGCAACATTTTGGCACTTCTTGAGTTTGCTTGTTCTCTCCCTTCATTAAGGTACGGGATTATTCTTCCCGTTTTACAATTCAATGTGTGAGTTTTAAAACCGTTCCCTGACTTTGATCAGCTCAGAGGTTGTTTCATGGTATCGATAAAAGTTGAAAGTTTGAAAAATGTCATTACATTCCCTGAACTATCACCTCAAAAGTAATAGACTGTTTTGGATATTGTGTTGGTTAGGGGAGGTATCTAATGAGAAAGAAGAGAAATTAATAGACTTTTTCCCATCAGCAAACATTCTCTCAAACGTTTTCTTGTCGAAGACGTCTTTACCTTGGGCGTAATGTTTTGCCCATTTCAGACGGCGATTCTCATTCTCTTGAAATAATCTCACTCTTTTGAGGATAACATTTCATGATTGCTTTGTATGTATATTCATGTGTCTTCTCATGGGCAACCGTCAGATGTAGAACCAATACTGAAAGTATTGTAGCAGGGGTTAGGTGCTCTTTAAGTGAATAGCAATAATTTGTCGAACAGCGAAGTGAGTAACCTGGGGAAGAGGCCATATCTTCACTACCACAGTCAGTAAGGAGATAAATAGTACCTGCGTCATTAGGTCGACGGCTTCTGAAGACAGATTTTCTGGAAACTCGAATTCTGCTAATTGCACAACTTTGGATTGCGACTGATGATCCTTGGAAACAGCATAAGGATACTGAAGAAAATGAAAGACGTGAGGAAGACAAACAAACAGATACAACAGGATTTGTACAAAATTCTTATTTGTTTTGATTGCAAATTATTACTTGAACAGTTTTTGCTACACTTTTCTATTTTGCGATTTTCGCGATTTCAAAAAAGTTGTGAAAATTGAGCGTCGCAAAAAAAAAATAAAAAAATCGAAAAAAAAAAAAAAAAAAAAAAATGCGCTCAAATATTGAAAAAATGAAGAATTAATGACCATTAAAAAGCAGGGATAAAAGACGTTGTTAGTGTGGACAAAGCACTGGTGTCTAACGCGAATTATTTATTTTATTACTGTTGCGCAACAAGATCGTACTGTTTAAGGAAATGTCTGTATCAACAAATGATGAAGAAATGGCGAAGTTAAAAAGCGACTTGGGATGTTTTGCAAAATTGCGAAATGTAAGTGCCGCAAGATATGCGACCTCCGAAATAAACACGTCACGAAAAGTTCATGTAATGAGGGAAGTTATGATTGGTTAACTTTGTTACCTTGCCAACGAGTAAGACGTACATGACGATGCCCAAAGCCCACCAGTCAACCAGGTAATTGTATTTCTCTCCTCTTAGTGTCTCTGGGGCTGAATAATGAAACCACAACACAAGGTGTAATTTCAGTAAAGTTCCCCAAGGTGTGCAACTAATCAATTGCACAGAATACAACAGTTTCAAGTTCACTTTGCTCAGCCTTTTAGTCTCGGTGGTGCAATAAAACATTCAGCTATTCAACCAAAACCTGTGGTATTTTAATCAACCCCGGGGGGGCTCACGGAAAAAAGTACCGGGGATGCTCGTCAGAAATTTTCAAAAAGACCCCTAAAAGATACCGGAATACTTTAAAAAAGGGCGTGGCTGAATGATTTTTGACCCCTAAGAGATACCACAACAAATTACACTAGGCATCTGGCCTATAAAAAGCGCCTAAAATAAGCCATACGCTGTTCTCTACTTTTCCGACACCCTAAGAAATACCAGAAAATGCTGATTTTTAAAAATTCACATTTAACACCCTAAAAGATACCAAATCGCGAATTTTTACCCCTAAGAGATACGACGAGCATCCCCGATACATTTTTTTCGGAGTCCGGCCCCCCCCCCCCCCCCGGTAATCAACTCGTATTGTTCCGTAGTTCGTACATTCCTTACTATACAGTGGACCTTAATAAAAGAAAAGGACACTTGAAATGGGAACATTACTGAAAAAAATTTCAGTCATAACCAACCAGCCAGCTGATCAGAAAAGAAACTTCTACATATGTAGATGTGTTATTAATTAGGACAGTATAATAACAAGTTCCTCACCCATATACTGTAAGGTACCACAGATTGTATTGCTCATATCTTCAGTATTCATTAGCTTGGATAAGCCAAAGTCAATAATCTTGATGTGCCCTGAGAAATAAATGCTTATTTAGCTAAGTTCCAAAATATTAATATTCCTAGATTGCTATCTCAATCTATTCCAGAACTTGGCTTTTCTTTGACCCCTCTGCTTTTCTTAGCTTCCTCCGCCCATGCAACAAGCTCAGCGGATCTTTTGAAGAGGGGCATTGCCAAATAATGCATAAGCTTCAATTAATAATCTTTATATTTCTAGCTCAAATTTCAGGTGCTGGGCCCTCCCTTCAGCATATCCCTTTTCTGTACACAGGGATTCTTTAACATGTGGTGGTGTCATACTAGTGCTGTCAAAGAAGGATATTCTAGACCTAAAAAACTAATTTGGGAGGAAGGGGGAAGAGGGAGGGAGGGAGGGAGCAGGAAGAGGGAAGAGGGAGGAAAAAGAGGGAGGAGGAAGAGGGAAGAGGGAGGAGGAAGAGGGAAGAGAAGGAGGAAGAGGGAAGAGGGAGGAGGAAGAGGGAGGGAGACAGAAGAGGGAGGCTGAGAGAGGGAGGGGGGAGGAAGAGGTGAATGGCACATGAAATGCTGACCATGCATAAGCATATATAAAGGATGAATCATCAATTTCAAACCAAGCTTTCCATATGGATATGGAATATATTTACCTTGTTTGTCCAATAGCACATTCTCAAGCTAGAACAAAAAAATAAAGATAATGGTCTGATTAGACAACATTTGGTATATTTTAAATATTTCTAATCGCAGAATGATATCCTTGTGTCTCCACCTTCTTGTGCTCACTGCGTTACTCTACATATTGGTGCAAAGGGATTGGTTTCTGTGGCAGGATGGGTCAAGGAGGTTTTGAGGAGGGGAGCAGGATGGAGATCACTAGCCATAGTAGCATAGCCAACTGTTTAGTAAAACAGACAGTGGATACATATACAACATACAGGAATTATCTTGGTACAATATACCTTCAAGTCTCTGTATACTACTCCACACTTGTGAAGAAAGTCTATAATTATTCAAAAGAAACATTACATTAATGTCCGTATGTGAATCAATGTACAAAGTATGTCTTTTATTCTCTCAACATATGTGCACTAATATGAAAAAGATAAAAAATTTTTTTCATTACAATCATATTTTATTTCTGGCTAATACAGTACTTACATTACCATTCAAATGATCTCTTTATTTTNCCCCCCCCCCCCCCCCCATTTCAGACCATTCTTTTCAGCAAATAAGATTATTTTTTGAGATGTATCCACATGCATATTCATGTGTCTTTAATGTGCAGTTGTTTTAAAACGAAATGATGGTCTGACTCTTGAATGACACGTGTGTTCTGAAATGGGAAAACATTTAACACCCAGGGCAAAATGGTCTATTTTCAGCTTACCAAGTGTTAAAGCTAGTTCAGCAATGTATTGCCGAACAAGATCTTCTTTAAGGGTTTTTTCTTGAATCCATAATGTAAAGAGATCACTCCCATCAACAAAATCTGAGACTGAAAGAGTATATCAGAATTGAGTTACTAGATATTAAATACTCTACAATAAGTTTGTTCAATTAATGGGTTCAATTAATGTTCTAGGGGAAAGCATAAAAAATTTCAACTCATTTTGACATAAAATTAAAGCATTTTGGTTTATATAATCATGTTAAATTAGGCTTTGATTGAAGCACATTGATGAAAATGCAACCAAGGTAGCTAGGTGTAGCAAACTATAGTACGCTTGCCACACTTTCTCTGGGGTGTTGGGTTTTGGTTTATGAAGGATGCAGCATATCGTAAATATGTGGGCCACTTTTTTGCCACATCTCCTTTTTGAATTCAGCACTTTTCTCTGGGTTTTCTCTGTGTTTTCTGATTTGCTCCCTCAAAGTGCTAATTAAAATCTGTGAGCTAGGGATTCTGTCACCTACAGGAAGAATGATTCACCCCAGAGGTTAAATTTTGTGTTAGGGTTTAATAAAATTGATTTAGTTTGTGTACACAACGACAAGATTAATATATGTAAATGTAATTACCAATGAATAAATTATGTTTCGTCTGCCAAGTGTGCCAGGTCTTGACAAGAAATGGGAAGTTTTTTATTTTAGTCTGGAAGAAAAATCATGAATAAGATACTGTTATAATTAAAATGTTGTACAAAAAACAAAAAAAAAATWAAAAAAAAAGGAAAAAAAACAAACAAAAAACAAAACAACAACAATGGCAAAAAGAAAAGCAATCTGGGTTTCAGGTTCGTACTAGAAATTCAGCAATAAACTTAGTTTCAGATGTTTGTTAGGTGTCATAGTTAAGTAATATCATAAAGTGTCGTCATGGATACAGTACCTGTATGTTAACTTCATCTTTACACTGTTGTATGGCGTTTTCCTTTATAATTTCAGCTTTGTTTAAAATCTGTTCAGACAAGAGTAACAGAATGTTTTTTTTKTGTGTGTTAAATACAATAAGAACTGAAACAAAGATAAGACTTAAAGGCCCCAACTATGTTGTATACATTAAATGCATTTTTGAAACATTCCATATTTGTCTCACTAAGAAGGTACTGAAATCTTTCTTATGTTTTCAAAGTATTTTCACCTATCACTACTAAATGGTTAAAAATACAAATACCATCCAAAATGATGCATTAATTATTATCATCTGCGCATATGCCGAAAAATGGATTCGCCAGTAAGAACATATAATGATGCTCTGCATTTTCAAAAGTCTCTGTTTTCACCTGTCTACACTAATGCAATAAGCCTCAATTTCCTAATGTATGCATTTTCAATGGTTTAATAAAGGTTGAACACAAGGCCAAAATGGATTAATATAAACTCATTTAGTGTGGAAGGTGGTCTGATAAAAATAATACAATTGTTATTTGGTACATAGTGATTCATGATTTTAAACTATTTTTTTATGTTATTTTGCTTGCTTGCATGTATTTCATTACTAACAATTAAATATTTGGTTGTGAAATGGTTGCTATGGTGGCTCTTTTCATCAACATGAGCCGAGCATCACTGGACTCCTCAATCATTTACTACATGTAGGTCGAAGCTCATCTAATGGTGAAAAGATTGATTAATCCATAAATTTCAAGTGTGCAATTATTTAATGATTTAGTTCTCTTGAAATGTGCATGGTAAATGATGATAAAAGAAATATTACTCAAGAGAATGACATGTGGTCTGAACTGGTAACAATAGTACATATCTTCTTGCAGTACATACAGGTTAATCACAGCCAAATGGTTGCTTGAATTTAGATTTTGTTTATGATCTATTTTTTACAGGACTACAATATTAAAGAGGCAAACAAAAGGTTTTGTTTATTGCTTGATGTAGCCTACAGTAAATGCATGCATAACCTAGCAGCAGTACCCTTGCCTCTCAACTCTGGGGTCTGCTGCCGTTTTTACAGTGCAGTATGTGCATAGCAGCAGCACCATAGCCTCTCAACTCTGGGGTCTGACTTTTATCAGCCCCAGCAGATCGATCTAGAGGTTGTTTCATGCAGGGTTTCAGGTTTCAATGAATATCAGGGTATTGATAACATTTAATGTTTTGATAGCAAAGCTATATTCTTACCTTCATTGCAAACACTTCCCCTGTATTTCTTTTCCTTACTTGAAGTACCTGCAACATCATTTGAAAACAATATTAATATGAATATCTAAATACCCTATCATGCAAACCTCCTTTAAAGTACTGTATTATTCTCAGTCAGTGTCAACTCTTACTGTATATACTATGTACTTATTGACTGAGTGGGAGGGCCGTAAGGGAAAATATTTGGCTCGAGGTGATGCCGTACGGAATGAGCGCAGCGAGGTCCATACAAATGACCAAGAGCCAAATATTTTCCAGTATGGCCTGACCTAACTCAGTCAATAAGCATTTTATCATATGACCCTCATGAAAAGAACAATAATAATTAAACGAAAGTGCGCGGATTCCAGCAGGGCCGTACGGATCCGTAAGGCCCTGCTCGCTCAAAGCCGTACGGCCCTGCTCACGCCATTTTCCCGAAGGTTTTTCTAAGAGCGTGCGCCCGGGCAGACACGGGTCATATGATAATATGCATTTTCTTGACTTGCTAGCTATCTTCCACTTATGTTAAATATTTAGAGCATCGGTAGTACAATTCCGAAGGTCGTGGGTTCGATTCCCAGCGAGGTCAGAAATTAATTTTTCCGAATTTATTTCCAAGGGTCTTTCGCCCAGAATAACCTCATTCCCAAGCACTATAACTCATCTATATTTCTACATGTTAAATATTATTAAAATTTACAGATCATGTGTCATTCCCTAGAGTACCATTTCTCTGTTTAAAGCTCCTGTATATTACACTGTGCACTTTTATTTCTCAGCATAAAATAATTAATTGTTTTGATTGACATTTAAATTGCCAACAAGAAATCTATTGGGCAATCCAACAAAGTAAAGTTACAAAACATATTTTTATGGTTAATTGGCACATTCACATCACAATGACTAATGTTTATGTAGAGTCACATTGCATCCTTCCAAGTATATAATAGTACTATAACCAGACATTCCGCATGGATAATACTGCTGGACATAAAGAATTTATCATCATCTGTTGACATTTTTAAGAAGAAACTTAAGACATTTTTAGTTAATTCTTAGGTTACGTTTTTTCTCTCTTCTTTTTCACGTTTTTATAGTTTAATA